TGAATCACTAAATTTACAAATATGGCAACTACACCAAAAAAAACCATATAAAAACATAACAGAAAGCCAAACTTTATTGAATATGAAGTCATGCATTCAATGCTTTTCTACAAAAAAAAATATATATATAAAATGGAATTCTTTCGAAATAAGTAAACTCCAACTTTGAAATATTAAGGGAGAAAATTAGAGAGGTAAAGTACAAAAAATAAAAGAACCATTTTTGTTTTTTGTTCTATTTCAATTTACTGAAAACAGAAAATTTTTTATTAAAAGCACAACCATTATTATTGCCATTACCATCGATGAAAAAGAATGAGACATTTAAAGAGTTTTGTATTATAAAACAATAAGAGAATAATGTAGAAAAGAAAAATAGAACTGAAAAGGAACAATTTTTTTAATCCTAGCAACTCTAAGTAATTTGTAGAAGGCGGAATTTATTTTTTGTTTTTTTTTGCAGGACTTATGATTGTTTAAGGAAGGCTGTGATTAAAATATAAATGACAACATTAAACAAAGGACTCAGGTAGCGTTTACATGTACAACAAACTTTTAAATTAAATTTAATACAAAGCCTGACAACTGTTTATATATCCTGGAATATTAGACGAAGCTCAAATTTTACGTTAAAATTTAATATTTTGCTATGAAGATTATTACGAAAATTAAAATGATCTGATCATTTTGCAAAACTCCCAACTCAACAATTTTACTTTTCGTTGGGTTTTAGAAAATGTGTTTGAATTTTTTGAGAATTCTCTTAATTTGCCGAATTTAATATAAATTTAATTAAAGAGAATTTAAATATTGTTATATTCAAAATATTGTTATATTTCAATTTTATGATAAGTTGACTTAAATATTCTATTTCAACTTCTATTTAGTGAATCTAGATTAAATTTTGGCTTTACAATATTAATGATATTTAATAATAACCTTTCAGAAACCTAAATCAAAACGAATAATGACATTCATTATACATCAGCTAATGTGAAATTGAATTTGTGTCAATATAAAAATTTTGATCATGAAATAGAAAAAAGGGGAAAAAAATTAAATAGAAAAGCTCAAATGTAGCATTACAATGTTTCATAATAAAATGAAATGCTAACAAAGGATATATCATTGCCATAAAGATTGGTAAAGATGGCAAATGGATAACAAAATTTTATGGGGTCTTTTCTAAATAAGAGAAAACAAAATAAAGCATAAAAAAGAAAAGATCAAAATAGTAAAAAAAAAAACATTTATGTGGTCATCCCTACATACTCGTACATATATAAATACGAGTATTACATTGAAATAAAAGTTCACATATGTATGTATGTATGTACCAATATTTCTACGAAACATCAAAAGGTTTCAATTCAATTTTTATAGTGTTTTCGGAAGAAAAAAAAACAAAAATAATTTGTTTTTATTTTTTTTTATTTGACATATTAGACCTAGACCAAATTACAAAAAAAAATAAGATCAAGTGTATTTTCATTTCTGACAAAAACTGTACATAGGGATTCATTCTTTTGTCTGATAAAATATTTTTAAATCTATATTTTTGAATGCATGTTTCCATGTATGTGTAAAATTCCTTTTTGTTGGATATTATTATTTTACTTTTATGTTATTATTTTTGCAAAAACAAATAAGTGTCATGTTGTAGAGCAAGTAAATTTGAAAAAAAAAAATTCTTGTAATTCTCAAAAACGATAAGAGAAAGACAATGCAAGCCTACGTCAAACTAAAAATAAAAAAAAATATATTGCAAAATGTACCAATTTAATTCACTTTGAACTTGAATCAAATCACAGTACTTGATTAAAGTAATTGTGTAAAGGATTCATCAGCTTTTGAAATGCAAATCACATTGATTTGGCACAGTGGTATTAATCAAGAGTCAACCTATGTTGTGGTTTTAAGTGCAGAATTTTTTCTTTTTATTATGTTAAGGAAAATTCGAAATTATTGTTTCGAATAAATATGATAAACTTAATTTTGGCATAATTTCATATAAAACTGCAATAAGTAAGAATATACTTTTGTAACGTGCTAGCTATTTATATACGTAAAAGTAAAATTTCTACCTTTTTATTTAAAAATATTTTCCTCCAAAATTATGCTTTAAAATTGCCATATGAATTATGCGTGTACTTTTAATTATATTACAAAATAATGAATAACTTTTTGACATGTACAAAATTTTAATAAAGTGTAAATTAATAAAGTGTAAATTTGACCTATAAAATACTAATTTAAAAAATATTTCAGTCAAGTTCAATTAAATTTTTATAAAATGTTATTCCAAATTGGTCATAGATTTATTAATATTAAATGTTAATAAAAAATAAAAACGTATGCTAATATTTTTAAAGTGTTCTATCGAAACTCTTCTTAAAGTATATTTTTTAAATATCATTAAAATATTTTGTTATACACAAGTACTGAGTGCAATAATTCAATATTAATAATTGTTTTCTCGGTATAGAATTTACTGTTAAAAGAAAATAAGTAGTTTCCATCTTATTTCATATAACATGTATAGCCACATGTTCTCACAAATGAGAAATTCTGAAATTTTAAGAACTTATCATTGTCATTAATGGCCCAAAACATTAATTGAATAGTGTATTTGTTATTTTGTTAGGATGGTGTAAATATTCGCCTACATACACATTATAATATTTGGTAAATTGGAGACTTTATACAATCATATATGTAATTTCAAAGTAAATATTATTCTTAAATGTCCTTTCTAACAAAAAAAGAATTCATTTTCTTTTTACTTTATCTAATTTTTATTAAAAGAAAAAAAAACCAATTTTATAACAAAAAAAATTTTATATACGAGTAAGATAAAATAATAAATTGAAAAAGAATTTTTAAGATATAGTACAGTAAACACCCTATACCAAGTGCACTTTTGTTCATTAATTGAAATTATTCAGAATGTAATATGGAATATAAAAACGTTATTGTCGGTTGAGTGCTATTTTGATCCATACTATATACTTTTTGAATAGAGAAAAATACGTTTGAAGTTTAACAGAATTTTATCAAAACTAAACAATGAGATTTCTTGGAAAATGGAGGTGAATCAAAGTAGCTTCTCAATTAAATGAGATAACGAAAAATTCATTGAACATAAAATTGAGAAGAAAATTTTGCTAGTTTTGCTAGTGAAAATTTTAGGAGTAATATGCGAATGTCCAAAATTTTGACTTTTCAAAATAATCATTTGAATGTTTTTATCCAATCTGATCTAAGCTAATAAATTTTTTATAATTTTGATTCTATTGTTATGATTAATTAAAATTAACAAAACTTAAAAAATCTAATTGTTCGAAATATAGAAACTTTATTGTAACATTTCATATAACGAGAAAAAACAACACAAAATTAAATAAAATCGAAAAATGATACCGCAGTAAAAAAAATAAAAATCAATAAAAAAAATTACCAAAACTCTGATACTCGTATGCTCTATTGTCTATATATATTTTTAGAAATATATGCAGTTTGTATAACAAATAATAATATACGTTATGTATATGTTTTTGCAAATATTCAATAATATACAAATATAACAAAATTTAAGTGCTCCGTTATGGGTATACTGGCATAATAATTGAAATGACATAATATAAGTATATTACTTTGGCACATACACATAATACATACGAGAACAAGTGTATGATATGTAAGAATACAATATTAACCACGAGATAGTGAGAGGACAATGAAAACCAGAGTACCACGAGATAGTGAAAAAAATAGAAAAATGTCTACAAAATGAGATTTTAAAAGAAAATTCAACTAAATAGGTCGTGAATATTTTCTATTTTTATATTTGAAAACAGTTATTTGAAAAAATTCACTGTAAGGAGATATTATGTAGATTATTAATATTTTCCAAATTTTTATGCTTCATCGGTGTAAAAGTTTATATGATTTGGCAAAACTTGCAATTCTAAACATAAACCTTTGCTTTTTCTACTCATTTGACATGAATGCTTGGATTTTACATAACTATTTAAATAGCATGAGATAAATCGCTTAGTATTTAACAGCTGTTTCTTGAGCACTTGAACTCAAACGTTTTCTGTTCACCAAACTTCTCGGTTTCGTTACTTTAATTATATTATGGTTCAAATCTAATAGAACAATAATACTGTTCTTTATGGAATTTTGTATATTCGAAATATACAGAGTCACACGAAAATTAAATTTAATATATGTATGTAATTTGACTTGAAATAAAAAAAATTTCGTATAACATTAAATATTGTTCCATAAAATTTATTATAACTTTTATGTTCACTTACCTGGCCGACTCCTTTTGTTACGTAGATTATACTGGAAATTTCGAAATTTTATATTGAGAAATAGACTCCTTTCCACGCTTTAATTTAATTTCGAAAAATTTCATGTTTGAAAAATTTTTTATACAATTTAATTATTTATTAACGTCTTAATATAAAAATTTAATTTCAAAATTAAATTTTAAATAAAAAAAAAATTTTGAAATATTTATGATGAAAAAAATATGTTTAAGGCTACTCATTTTTTTTATTTGTTTAACTTGAGTGTTCAAATTGAAAAACTGAATTGGAAAATATTTACAGCCACTTTGAAAGACCAGTAAACATCAGGCAAGTTAAAATATTATAAAATTCACTTGAGACACATAAAAAATAACAAAATTGAGAATCAAGACAATAACGAAAAGTAAGAAAAGTAATAAAAGAATTTTTCTTTTCTCTTCAAACACAAAAATATATAATAACCGTTATATACAATATAAAATAATGGAAAGACAATGTACAAAAAGCTATAAAAATGTGAAAGGGTGACACCAACAACAGTTACAAATAATTTTTTCATTATTTGTTATTGTTTTCTCGCTTTTCTTGAAATTTCTCTAACACAATCTTTTCAAATCAACAAAACAAACACTGAGAGGAAAAGAAAAAAAAAAAAACAGAAAAAAAAAACAGAAGTACCTTCTTCATCATCCAATTGTTTATCCTCAATATTATCCTTTTCATATTGCTTTTGTTTTGGTATCAATAATTGTCCTTTCTCATCAATATCATCATCTTTTAAAAATAAACTAGGATCACTACTATAAAAATCATAACGTCGGTGTAATTGTTCATGGTTATTTTCTAAAATCATAGTCTTTTCATCATTAAAATTCTCAAAATGAAAATCTTCATTGATCTCATCTTTCTGACTATTTTCAGTATCTTTGACTAAAATATTGTTATCAGATTTTTTCAATTGCTGTTCTTTATATTTTTCAGATTGAGTATTACTATCAATAGAATTAATTTTGACATCATGAGTAATATCATTATTATCAATGAATTTATTATCATTATAATCATCAGGAGTATTAGTGGAATTAGAAGAAGTATTAGTAATAGTAGTAGCAGTAGTAGTAGTGTTAGTTGTAATAGAAGAATTCATTTCTTCAAATTTATTTTCTATTTTATGATTATTTTTAGTTTCTGTCTGTAAATCATTTGATGTCTGATCAAGAGAAGAAAAATCAGTTTTTTGATTATGATTTGATGATAAAAAATTTTTAAAATTTTCTATATTATAATCATATTGTGTATTAATTGCTGAATTATTACGAATAGTAGCTTCATCGACAGCTTCAATAAAATTTCGTACAATTGTAACTTCATCAGGACTATAAGATTGAAAATATTCGAGTGGTGGAGGTTGTGAAAAGCTACGAATTTTAAAGAATTTTTTTGATATATATTGTTTACTGGTACTACGACTACCGCTGCAATCTTCACTAGTATTTACATTATTATAATTATCACTGGTTGTGTGTTCATTAGCATTATGAGCACTTTTCAAATTATAATCTTTTTGCTTTTCTTCAGTGTTGTTACTAACAATGTTTTGAATATTATTTTGTTGAATAGGATCAGAAACTTTGGATTGCGGTGGAAGTTCGTCAACTTGATATTTTTGTTTCTTAGAAGTAGATAATATTATTGTTGGTGTATGAGGTGGGGTGTGTTCAATTGATGCTGTTCCAATTTCCGTTGATGATGATGTTATTGTAGAAATATTTTTAGATAATTCAGCAATTTGATCCAATCTTTCGTTATTGATTTCTTTTAATTCTAATACTTTTTGTAATAAACTATTATGGCTATTATCACTTATTTCTATTGTTTTCTTATTAATATCGGAAGTTTGATTCGTTGTTTCCTGTGACCAACGTTTTTCATGTCGTAATTGACGTTCTTTTTGTGTTTGTTTTTGTTGTGATTTTGTTATTATTTTATTATTATTACAAATATCAATTATTTCATTACTAGATTCTAAATGTATTTGTCGCTTTTCTTGTTGTTTTTGTATATGATCCTGATATTGAAATTCTTCATTTTTTTGAAGATTTTTAGTTTGCCCTTGGCTTTTATTTTGGTAATTTTCTTCTGTTTGTTGTTTAATTTCATGTGGTTTTTTAAATTCTTCCGATTTCAAATTTTCGATTATTAAATTTTCAGAAATATTACTAGTATATTGGTTTGATGACATATTCTGATTTAAAATAATCATATTTGTTTTATGTTCATTACCATCAATATCACCAATAACATCATTATTTTGAATGGTAAAGTTTTGTTGTTGCGTATTATTGGATTTTGGTGGCAAATTTTTATCATTCAATGTTAAATTTTCGATATTTTTATTTTTATTATAATTATATTCTTTTAATTTTTCATTATCGTTGATATTAAGAGCGGATATATTTTCAATTTGTTGATTATATTGTTCTGGATATAATTCGGTTTTTAAATAATTTTCATTTACGTTTGCTGTTGAATTGATTGTGGCACCATTGGTAATTACGGTAGTAGTAGCAGTAGTAGTAGTAGCGGTTATGTTGGCAATATCGATTGAATTTTGCTTGTAATATTCATGTTGTTGATTTTTTTGGTCATCGATTTGGTTAACATTATTATTTTTGGTTTCAAAACTTCTTACTAAGTTTATATCACACCAAAATTATCGGATAAAAAATTTTTATATGTTCATATAGGATGCAAGAAAAATTGATAGTTTGAAAACAGGATAAAAAAAAAAAAGAAAAAAGAAAAGAGAACAGAAATTCATTGAATATAGTGAAAATAAATTTGTAGTAAAATTTTTTTTTATTATGTTAGGATATTGGTCCATTTTAATTATTATTTTTGTTCTAACACAGAACCTCAATACAAATTTTTACATAAATTTTGTGGTATTTTTTTTACTATTTTTATTTGTTTGTATTTTGATGATGTTATTGTGCTTGATTTAGTTTGAATTTTGAATGGGCATTAAAATGTACAAAATGGATAAAAATAGTTCTAATATTAAAGGCAGGTAAGTAACACAAATTATTTTATAAATTTTAGATTACATTTATTTTACAGAATTATGAAATAATTGGGATTATAATAAAAATAAATTATAGATACTTATTTAAATTACAATTCCAATTTAAATTGCTCTTAAATATTTAAACGAAAGGACATTTTCAATTTAGAAATTAAAGCATATAGAATGATATTTTTAAATGAAAATTGAAAATTTTGGTTTTAATTTTTTTAGATTTAAAATTGTTTTTTAATTAAAAATTCAATTGTAGAATTATTTTACAAAATGTTATCACAATAATATCCATATTATTATTTGCTATTACAAAATTTTGCAAATTTACTTTCACGTTAAATATTTAATTTGTGTAAATTTAAAAATTAAAAATTAAAATGGACTAATATCCTTTCCAAAAAACTTTACTAAAATTTATGTTCAGTTTATTGTCTCTGTCAATTATATTGTCAATGTTATTTATATCAACTACCGTTGACATTTCATAAATGTCAACATTGATATTTTTTGTTTCATTTATCGATTTTATAATATTTATATCAGTTGAATTGACATTGACAATATTCTCTCTATTAATATTAATTTTACCATCAATTTGTTCTTCTTCTTTTTGTAATTGTTTTTGATTTGAAATTAATTGTTTCGATTCCATTTGTTCCTGGTCTAATACTAATTTATTTTGTTCATTTTGATTACTTATTTCATTTTTATTTAATGAACTTTCATTTGAATCGCTATCAGTTGTAACATTAATTTTACTAAATATAATTTCATTTTGTAATTTTTTTAGATTTTGTTGTTGTATATGATGTAAACGTTCAAATTCTTCTAATGCTAAAATTTCATCATTTGTCAAAATCTGTTCGTCCTTTATTTTATTAATATCATTTGAATCACCTTGTTCTTTGTTACATTGAACCTTTGCTTGTTTATTTTGTTCGCAGGATGTTGTATTTGTTGATGAAGTTTGGACTGGCGCTGGAGTATTTTTTGAAATAATGTTTGATTTGCCTCCAATTTGACGTTTAGAAATTTTTTTTTTATCATGATTTTTAATAGATTGATTACTATAATCAATATTATCGTATATAGATGATGTTGGTGATGGGAATGGTATATCAGTTTCATTTTCGTTGATATCAAGCGATGATGGTGTTACTAATACTTTTGGCAATTTAAATGGTGTCATTATTGATGGAGTTGCAGGTGTTGATGGTGTTGATAATTGTATACTTGCACTTGATTCCATAATTTCAAAATCATCAGTGTCAATTTCAGTCGACTTTTTTTCTTTAATACAAACATTTTCATTTTTAATGTTTATTTTAATATTTTTATTTTTCTTGTCAATTTTCTCACTCTTATATGAACTTAAAGTATGATAATTATCTTCACTGTAATTATTTTTAGAATCACTACTAATATTACCGAAAGTTGTGTCATTTTGTTCAGAGAAATTTTGATGGTGCTCCTGTTGTTTACTATATTGTAATTTTTGTTCTTGTTGCTGTTGTTTTTGTTCTTGTTCCTGATTTTGACATACAATTTTATTTTCATTATTATCATAATTATTTTTGTTGCCTTTTATTAGTGTTGGTTGATATTCAGCGTACATTTTATAATAGCGAATATTTTCCATTCTTTTATCATCAATTTGAATGGCATCAGTACTTGAAATATTTTCCATAGAAATATTATTGTTTTGTTCATGACCAAAATCTAATTTAGTTGTAGTAAGTTGATTTAACAATTTTTCATTTAAATTTTCTTTATTAGAGGAACTAATTGTGGATGCTGATGTTACTTTTGTATCTGCATTTGTTGTTGTTATTTCTTCAGTTTTTATGTTATTTTTACTATAATTATCATCAATTTGAATATTACCCCTATAACTATCATCAGTATAGTTCATTATTTTGTTATATGACGATAATGATGTTGATGATTTTGTTTTCATTTCTGTTGTCTCTTCTAATATTTTTGATGACGATGACAATAATGATGATGCTGATGTCTTTGTTATTTCTTTAGAATTAGCTATAACATTTTCATTTATATTTTTATCACTATCAGTAACAGTAGTAGTAGTACCAGTAAGATAATCACTAAATGTTAATTCATTAGAATTTGTTGATTCAACTAAATTAAGTTTATGTTGGTTTTTTTGTATTGTTGTATCTTGTATTATTTTCTCTTTTTGTTGCTTTACCACCTTCTGTTGATTTGGCTTTTTGATTTTATTTTGATGTTGATGATTTTCCATTTCTTTGAAAATTATATAGAAAAATTATTTTGTTTATAATATTTTAACAAAATATTTTATTATTTTCTATATGTAAAATAACTGAAGTGACAACATAAGCTTACAAGGATATTGATGTTGTAGTTGTGGTTGTTTTCAGTTTATTGTGATATTTTGTTCATACTTTAATTATGCTTGTTTTACTCTTCTTATATGCAAAATACGAGTTAATATACAATTTTATATAAGAATGATTGTTTGGTATAGTGTTGTATAATTTTTTGAGCTTATTGCCTCTTAAATATAGCGAGTTTATTTTATTTTTTTAAATTGATAATATTATTATGTGAAAATTTTGTGTTTTTTTGTTTAAAACTTGTTATATTGTTTTTTGATTTTATTTATTTTTCATGATATTTAGAGAGTTTATAGCGAGTCAATATAATGTTGTAATTGAAGCGTAAGCAATTATTTAAGAAAAACTTATTCTAAATGTATGTGCAATATAATAATATTATAAATTTTATATTGTTATAAAAATATATGTTATACACGCTATAATATATTATATAACAGTATATAAGGAGTATAGATATTATATTTTCAATTAAATTAACATAAATATTTAATCATAATTACTTTCTGAATTAAGATTTTCAGGTTGTGATATTTCTCTATTTTTATTTTCAATATCACTTATTGCCGGGATTTCACCGGTTTCAATTCCATCTTTAGAAGAGTCATTTTCATCTAATTTAATTATAGCTTCAGCTCTTTTTAAAAGATCCTCTTGATTTTGTTTTGTTATTATATAATCATATAAAATATTTTTACTTTCAACAATTTTATATAAATCATAATCATCGGTACCATCAGGATCACTAATTTTCCCATACATTTGAGAAATTTTATTTAATCCATAATTTGATTTAGTTAAACTATATTCATTATCATCATAAATGAAATTATTTTCATTATCATCTAATAAATTTTGATTTTCCTTCAGATTTTTTTCAATATTATTTTTCGAATTAATTTCTTCAATTCCAATTGTTGATGACGTTGTTTGTGATGATTCTGTTGTTTGTGTTACCGTTGGTAATATATACTTTCCTAAGATAGAATTATCCATTTGGGATTTATAATATGATTCTTGTAATTGTGAATCTGATTTATCACAATCTGTTTTATACTCTAAATTATTTACGTTAAATGATTTTATATCATGTTTATTATACTGTAAACCAAGTAATTTGTTATCCATATCCTTATAATTAGAATATATTGTTGATTGTAATGGATTTTCCTTGAATATTTCAATATCTTTTGTCTCCTTTTCCATTTTATTTTTATATAGTAAATTAGAATGAAATTCAATACTTTCACATTTGTTATTATTAGAAGGAATTATAATATTTTTAGTTATTTGATTATTAATATCATCATTACTATTATTATTATCATTATTATTAATATTATTATTAAAGCTATTATCCAATTCCCTGGATATATTATCCAAATCGATTAATACATTTTCAACCACTGGCATATTTTCCATTTGATTAACTATTACACTATAACCGGTTTTATTATTGTAATTAGTAGAAGTAGTAAAAATGGAAGAAGAAGTAGATGATGAGGTAGAAGTAGATGATGATAACAATGATATTATTATATTTTTGGTGGGTGTTAATGATATAGAAAATGATGGTAGTGGTGAAATTAAATCTGAAGTATTTTTAATATTATATTGCTGTTGTTGTTGCTGTTGTTGTTCTTTATAATCTATTAGGTTATCTTTACATACTAAAGAATTACTGGTAATATCTTTTATCTCATTTAAGCCATTATTATCAATATTTTCTTTTTCATTCATTATATTTTTTTCTTTCTTATTTATATTAAGGTTATCAATATCATTATTATTGATATTAAAAGCATTGGTATTATTAAATTTTTCACATGTACTAAGTGGTGGAGAAGTAGAAGAAATAGCAGAAATAGAAGAATTAAGTAAAGAAGATTCAGTACTCATAATATTTGTTGGATGAATATTTTTTTCTACATCTTTAGATTTTAATATAGAACATTGTAAGGGGATTATTGTTGTTGATGTTTTTCCATTATTATTCTTATTTTTATCAATATTGAGGTCATAAATTTCTTCAAGATTTTTTAGAAAATTATTATTCGTTGAAGATATTGGATGAGTAGTAGTAGATTTAATATTACAAGAAGTAGTAGAAGTGGTAGATGTTGTTAAAATAGATGATGAATAAATGGAAGAAATATTAGAAGAGGTAATAAAATTTTTGTTATCTTCATAATCTAATGACTTTGCTGTTAATGCTAATGTTGTTGGTGTTGATGTTGTTAATGTTATCGGTGATATACTTCTTGATCTTAGAGCTGAATTAGTTGTTAAAAACATTTGTTTGATAATTGGTAAAGGAGTTTCAAGCACTAAAATTGTATTTGCATTTGGTAATGTAGAAATTTTATTATTTTTTATATTAATATTACTATCACTACTACTATAATTAGTATCATATTTTATGCTATGACGTCTTGGTGGTGGTATAGGTGGTGTTTTTAATGATTTTGTTATATATTTATTGTAATAATCATCATATGATAATGATGATTTTAATAATGATGTTTCAATAAATTCATCAATACGCCTTAAATCTTCAGCTATTGATTTTTCAATAATTTCATATTTATAATCTGTATCTGCTGATATACTATTATAATTTGTAATATTTTTAGATTCAATGTCATCATTTTGAGAATATATAACTTCTGGTACTGATTTTGATCTAACATAAGATTTTTTTGGTGATAATTTAGAAATTTCATTAATATTATTGTCATTATTATTATTATTATATTCAATAGTAGAAGTTTTTTCATTATTGTCTGTCATATTTTGACATTCACTAATTTCTCTAATATGTTCATCCATTTCAATATAATTTTTGGGAACTTTTTTCGGTACATAAATATATTCACCATCAGTGTATGTAATATAATTTTTATTTCTTATGTCAAATTTATTATTATCAAATAACTTTCTTGTGGGTATTGTGTTATCAACTTGATCCTTTTTAGTTGAATCTACAATTTTAGTTTTAAAACTTTTATTTTCATTTTTATTAAATTCATTTTCAGAATATTTTGATATGATTATTTTATCATTATCATTATCATCTTCATTTTCATTACGATGATGATGTTGGTAATGATGACTTGTATCATATTCCTTAGTTAAAATATTTTCTTTTGGAAAAGAAATTGTATTAGTACTATCATAATTCTTTGTATTATTTTGACATTTTTTGTTGTTGTTTTCGTGATTAGTAATAGAATTACTTTTGTAGTTTCGCTCACGAATCTCTTGTAAAAGTTTTTGCTTTTTCGTATTTAAAATCATATTTGATTCTTGATTTTGAATTTCATCATTTGTTATTGTAGAAGTTAAATAAGAAGAAGTAGAAGTAGATGATGATGATGATGATGTTGATAATGATGAAGCAGATTGTACTAAATTTTCATCACGTAATTTCTTGTGCTCATAAAATTCTAAATTTTCATGAGATTGTTGATTTGTGGTAGCAGCAGCAGCGGCAGTAGCAGAAGAAGAAGAAAATATAGAAGAAGAGGAAGGCGAACATATTGTTGCAGTTGTATAAATAGAAGAGTCAATGTCCTAAATTTTATGAGAAAAAGAAAGAGTGAGAGTGAAAATTGTAGATATAAAGTAGAAAAATATTTTGTTTGATTATTGTTTAATATTGTCAGGAGATATTCCATATATCTGCATTTTATTCAAAAAAACAAGGCAGTTATTTTGTAGGAGTAAAAAATTAGATTCAAAAAATTTTGTAGAATAAGAGAAATGTTGTAAATTTACCATTTCATTGAAATATCCTTAAACTTTTGCTTTTTGTTTTTGTTCTCAAAATGTTTTCTCAACTCTAGATTTTCCAGTAAAAGTTTTCCAAACAAAACAGGTTTTTGAAGCGAATTTTTTGCTGGAATATTAAAAATATAGATCAATTTTGATGAGAGGGAATCATATTCTTTAAAATGGCGAAGAGAGCAAAATTAGCAATTCATAAATGTTTCATAAATCAAAAATATTTGTAGTTGCTTAGGAAAAAGCAACCAACAACTTTTAAAATTTATAAATTTGCCAAAACAACGATGTAACCCTTAATTTCGGTTTTGTTCCAAAAAATGTCCCTAAATATTAACACATTCATTTTGTGTTGCTGACTGCTACATTCTATTATGATTTTGGAAAATTAGGTGTAAAAAATTTAAAAATGAGATTTTCTGAATTAGGCATAAGCATTATTCAAATCAAGCGATTTTCCATTTTTCTTGAAAATGCTAAAAAAAAGTCCTCCAATTCTACAAAATTATTTTACCCAATTTTTTCTTTTTTCTCCTTCTGAAAATATTATTTAAAGGTAATTTCTTATAATTACCATTATTTTTGAGTGTTTCATATTTGATGACGGTTCCATAACTTTTACTTTAGAATTTATTTTATTATTCTCTTGCGATATTGATAATGATGTTGGTATGCATAATGTTTTATCATCATCATCTTTTTCAATTTTTATAAAATTAACTTTATTTAACATTTTCGAATTTATTTTATCATTATTAGTATTACAATTTGTATTATTAAAAGTTACAACTTTACGTTGAACCCTTGTTCCTTGTAATAAAATATTTGGTGGCTGTGTTGACGTCGATAACAGCATTTCTTTTGATTTTATATTTTCAAAAATTGGTATTGATGTTTCCGTTGATGATGGTGGCGATGAATATGACAATGACAATGACGACGGCGTTAACATGGGTAATGTAATTTGTGAAATTAAATTTTTTGAATCATTTGGGATTGGGATATTATTAATTTGTCGTCGATCTGATGTAATAATTTCATTTAAATTTTTAGATGAAGAAGAATATTTTATCTTTGTTGGTACTTCTATTATTTCCGATTCTCGGTTTGATGAACATACTATTGGTGATGATGATAATTGTTGAAATTTTACTGAATATAATGATGTAGGTAATTTTTGATATTGATTTATTTCACATGCATTATTTGAATTGTCACCGATTTTTCCATTGTTGCTATTTTTATCGGATGTAGTCAGGCATTTTGATTCTTTTGTTAAAATCTCTGAATTTGTTAATGTATTATTAATTGTTGTAGTCTTTAAATTGGAATCAGTAATTAACTTAACAATATTTGAATTTTCATTACTTTTAAAATTTTTATTAGGTTTCCTGGTGACAATAATTGGGCATTTTGAAAAATCACTTTTATTTGCGTCATGTGTTTCTTTTATTCCTATTGATTCATGTAGAGTTGATGAAGTGCTTTCATTTAATGAATAAATTTTGGAATTTTCATCAATTATATCATCATTTATAATATCTTTTTTAGCATATTCTTGATTGTTGTTGTTTTCTATATTTGATTGATATTTAGGAATACATTTTATATTATTTATTTTATCAGTTTCATCATCAGTTTTTAAGACTATTTCATTATTTATATTGAAAATTTTATTTTTACTATCACAAATAACATTTTCATTCATTTTATTACACAATGTTTTATTCATTGATGTTGGTAGTATTGGTTGGTCAACTGTAATTGATGTCGGTCCTTGTATTTTAGTATATATGAGAGATTCTTTTATTCCATTTGATGATAATGTTGTTCTTATATTCGATGCGGTTACTTCATTATTATAAATAGAATTATATTTATTTGATTTTTCAAATGTTGATGGTAATGATGATGAAATTTGTTCATCTGATATAATAAAATTTTCATGAAAATCTGATTGAGATTGTTGTCCGAAATCTTCATTGTTGTATTTGTTATTGATTTGATCAGGCGATAAAAATTTCTCGTTATCTTGTAGTTGTGTTTTTGTTGATAAATTTTTTATTTCTTTTGGAAAGGAAGAAGCCCGAACTATTATGTATATTTGTACATATATACGTGTACATCATAATGTACATTGAATTTTTATTTGATTTTTGGATTTAGATTTTAGAAAAATGAAATAAAAAATATTTTATTATTATACATTATATAAAAATTTCATTTATGTACTATACTTTTGAACATATTATAGAAAATTTACGACAATAGAATAAAAGATTTTATTGAATTTGGATTTTAAAGAGCGATTTATTGTTTAGATTGTGCTAAAAAACTTTAAATTATTTGAAATCGAATTTTAAAATTTAAAATATTTCTATAATGAGAATTTTATACTTTTCCACTCTGGATTGTTAGTTTGGATTATGAAGGTGTTTTCACGAAGAAATCATTGCCAAAAACATTTTCTGAATCACACAAATTTTATAGTTGAGCACAATTTCTGCATAATCATAATAAAATTAAAATCCAAATTCACTTTTACCAACAGTAACTAAAAACATAGAAACAAAAATACAAAAACAAAGATATTTTACGGACACAATAACATTTTACGGAAAATTTCAAAAGGACAAAAGATTGGTATTTAACAACAATAAAACAATAATTTCGGGCAACAAAAATACCAACCTGCCCGTACAGTTTCCATTAAATTCGTACTTTCACGCAAATATATTGGTAGAAAATCGCTAGGTAATTTAAAATTATGTGTTGGTTTGTTATGAATAATATCAATAGCGGGTGATATTTTATTTTCATCATTTAAATTTGTTGAATTATTTTCTGAAATTTTATATTTGGCTTTCTCATTAGCATCTCTATATTCTTCTGTATTGTATTTATTAATACTTGAACTAGTTATTGTTATAGACTCGTCTTCAATATCTGAAAATTTATCCTTTGGTAAATTATATAATATTTCTAAAGGTGGTTTCGGTAATTCTATTTCCATTTCATTATTTACATTATAATCATCATCATCATCACCAGCATTTTGACTAGCAAACTGTTGAGAAGATATTGAAGTATTGAGTGTAGCTGTACTTATAATAGGTGTTAATAATGGTATTAAAGATATTTCAGATATTAACATTATAGGGATATCTGGTGTCATTCTTGTTGCATCGAAATCCTCTTCTGTATTTATTACGTCTGTTATTGATTCATTATTATTGAAATCATCTGTTTGAATAGTGTTCATATTTTTCAATGATTTTCTATTTTCAATGAATTCATCATTTTTTAAATATGAATTTTCATTTGTATTAAATTCTTTATTATGTTTTATTGATGGTGTTTTAACAGTTTTATTAATATTTTTTGTATTATTCAATAATAGTAATTCATCAGTTTTACTACTAGAAGGTTGAATATCCATTTCTTGTTTTGAATCTTGAATATTTTGAAAATGCTTTGATAGTGCGGCTGTTGGTGTTATTGTTGGCATAGCGATAATATCACGTCTCGGTTTTGATGGTGGTAAATTATTACAGCTGTTATCATTTTCCCTTTCATATAATTTAGTTTCAGTTGTTTCTGATTCTATTCGTAATGTGTTAGGTGGTGGAAACGATGGCATCGTTGATAATGATGATGATGAAGTAATATCATAATATTCATAAAATGTATTATTATCATTTTTTATTTGATTCTTTTGTTCATTATTCTCATATTTCATATGTTTAGTATTATATTGAATGATTCCATCATTGTAATCATGAGGCGAAAATGTTTTTGAATTCGATTCTTCTTTATATAATATAGAATCAGGTATAATAACTTCTTTAATTATTTTGCTTAAATTGGTATCCGTAGTATTAAGAGTAGTTTCAGATATAGTTTTAGATATCGTTGTAGTAGGTGCTGCAGATGTTATTATAGATTGTGCTAAAGATGATAAATTATCATTTGAATTTGTATTTAAATTTGAATAAGTACTTTCAACATTATTACTGCTTATTGTTGTTGATGGTGGAGAAACTAAATTTTTCGAAATTATTTTTTGCGAATTTTTTGCATTTTCCACTGCATTAATAAATTTTTTATTCATTTTATCTGATTTTTTTCTAGTGGATAGAATATTTTTATTATTTTCAGTTACAGGAGTAGTTTTATTAATATTTCCAATATTAATTAAGTTGTTGGATGATGGGGAAGTTTTAATAGAATTTTCATTATTATTATTGTTATTGATTAAAGTAGATGATTCATTATCAGATTTTTTATCAGTTATTACAGTTGATTCTATATCAGTATCATTTTCTGAGATTGAACTATTTAATTTTAAACCAGAATAAATTATTATACTTGGATCATTAAGATAATCATTTGTTAATTCATTTTCTAAATTATTTTTTATTTGTTTATTTGAAGATTTTTTTAAACGAAAATTACTACTTAATGATCTTGAACGTAAATTATTTATATTTTTACCATTTTTAATATATTTTCCGATATTATTATTATTATTATTATCATTAATATCATTATTAGTATAAAAATATTTGTTAATCATATCACTATTATAATTTAAATTATTTATAAATGATTTTGATGATTCTGGTAAATAATTATTATTAATATTATCAGAATGAGTGTTAGTTTTAAAATATTTTAATGAATTCTTACTTTCATAGATTGTACCAAATTCAAATAAATTTCTAATATTATCGATATTATGATTCTTACGTATTGTTTCGTCAAAATAATAACAATTATCTTCACTATGTGATCTTGGTTCACGATTATTTGGTGGTGGCCAACTTAAATCACGATAATAATTTTGATGACGACGATTAATTTTTAATACCGTATTACGATCAACAGTAAATTTTTTATCGTCTTGATATCTATGTCGAGGTCTACTTTGCCTTTCTGATAATCCACTAACATTCATATTATTTGTTAATTGTTGATTTTCCGTTATAAAATTTTCATTGAAATTACCACCACTTTTAATTATTGAATTTATTGTTTCATTATCATTTGTTTCATTATTTTTTTTTATATCACTATTGTTATTACGTTGTAATTTTTGTTGTTGTTGTTGAAGTTGACGTTGCTGATTATGATATTGTTGTTGATGTTGATTATTATGATTCATACTGTTATTGTTATTATTAACATTTTTATTGTTAGTTTTTTGATATCTTGAACGTTGTTGTTTTCTATTCCTTACTGTAAAAATTGGGGCAAAAATTTTTGATTTTTTTTGTTTGTAATAAAAAAAAATAATTTTCATTATTTTAAAAATTAATAAATTTAAAATAATATTTTTTTTATTTTGAATAATATGAAATAACATGATGAGGTAGATATTCATGGTTTCCAATTGGTTTTATTTGTCTAGTGGATGGTTTGCAGATGTATGTATATGTATTTACATAAATACATGTACATATATTGAGTACGTATTTATTGTGTTGTAATGTTGATATTTTGTAATATTAAATTTTAAAATTTTTTTTTCTTTTCAATTTGAAGGTTGTTTAAAAATAAAAATTCAAAGTTCTGTTTTTTTTACAAATATACATGTACATATCTACATTTTATGTATGTACATAATTATCATACCAATTATTAAGATTTTTAACAGACTAATTCTAATTAAATTTATTATGCATAAATTTTGCAAAAAAATATAATAATAATAAAGGACAAATCAAGCTCTAAAAATTGTATTTTTTTGGCAAAAAAATTATATTATTCTACATTTTAAAAATATTCATTTCTAATAATAAATTTATAACATGGTAATTAAAAAAGCCGATGTCAGCTATAAAATTATTTAATAGATATATTTTTCTAAATATATGTGTAAAATTTAAAAAAATAAAGCAAAATAAATTGCTAGGAATATTAATATGCATAGCATTTATTTTACTAGAATTCAGCAGGTGTTTAATTAATGCATTTTTAATAGATGAAAATCTATTTTAATGTAATTACAAAACGAGTTAAAAAAATTTTATTTTTTAATTAATTATATATTCTTTGTGTATATTTAGATTTTAAATTTAATTTTTGAAAAAAAAAGAAATAATTCTATTATCATAATATTGTTCATCTATGAATTAATGCATAATTCTACGCCGGACGTGCGCGATTAACTACATAGTAGAAGGTCGTGTTTTGAAATATCACTTATTTTATTTTATATTTTAAAGTAATTGTTTGGAAATCAAAGATTGATTATTGACTTTGCTTAATGAATTTCAAACTAGATTGGTACCATGGTAGATTCCAAGGCAACCGAGTGGGGCAGGAGGACATGTCTTCCGGGCCCATAACAGTCACTCGCGACATATTGTAGCGCCCCACGCGTCTTCCAATAATATCCAAGCAATCCCCGTACAAAGCATAAAACTGGATATATTCCCAAGTTTAATCTAAATTTTCATAAAATTCATCAACAATGTTTAATGAACAGTGACAATTCTGATTTTAAATTTATTTTTTCACATTTTAGATGCAAATAGATGTAATTACCGATTCCATAACAATAAACAAAGAAGTGCTGCCAACGGATAGTCAATAAGTTTATTTTATAAATCAATGATGGCTGTGATGCAACATTAATTCCATTTCTGTTGCTTTCGTTTTTACCAAATTAATAGGAAATTGATAATATTAAAATGTCGTAAGTTTTATGAATAAATTGTTGTTGAAATACTTAAAAATATTTTTAATTGCAATATTCATATAATACTAAAAATATGCGTTTTATCTTCGAATTTTATAAAAATTGAGAAAATCTATTTTTATTGTATAGAACAAGTGAGCCCTTTGACCTTTAAAAAACAGAATAAAAAATTTTTACAGCATAAATTGAAAATTTTAAAATATTTTTTTATTTAAATATCTAGAAATTATCGATGAAATCCGTCTACAATAATGCGTATAATTTCATTGGAATTGAATAAAATTATTGCATAATTGTAGGATAAAACAAAGTATTCATATTAAAACAGAACACGCTGTTTCCTATTTAACATTTTTATATAGTGCATAATAAATTGCAAAATTATAAAATAATTGGATAATTTAATTATACCGATGTTATTAAATTAAAAATCTTAATTAATTGGAAAAATTGAAAATTGGGCGAATTCATTCATATAAATTATAATTTTAAATATTTTTCAATAATCGAATTAAAAGGAGAATATAGAATAAATTACTTCAAGGTGCATATGATTAAGAAAAGTTCACATAAATAACACTAAAATTATTTCTTCATCAAGTCTACTTCTCAATTTAAAATTATTTTTTAATTTAAGATGTTTTAATAAATTTTCAAGTCTTAAATAATTTTGAAGAAAAATACAATAAAAATTTCCCATATAAAATTTAAGTGCGTTCTTGAAGTTTTGAATAATTCCTTTTTTTTTAATAGTCATATTTTAAGAACTGAGAATAATTTTAATTGGATACAAATTTTTAATTTATTAAATTTGTATTGCAATTTATGATAAGGAGAAAATTTTATTTATAATGCAATTTATTTCATATTTTATTATGCATATAATAATTTTGTAAATTATTAAAGGATTATATTTATGATAATTATAATGAAATTGTAAATTTGTGGTAAACACTTTCATTTTTAATATCTTTAGGTCATTAATTTGTAAAATTATACGATAAAAGTAGAATATTTATAGTCATAATAGAATATTTAAAACATATTTTTGCTGAACTATATTTAATTACGCTAAGTATTAAGTATAACTATATAGTTATAACCATTTGGTGTATAGTAAATCTAAAATTATATAATTTATTAAAAGTAAATTAAAAGTAAATCATTATTGAAGTATTCTTAATAAAATTCAGTGTATCCCAAAAATATTAAAATAAATTTAAAGTCAGTATGTGTGTTTTCCGTGTACACGTCAGAACAGCCGAATTTCAGTTGAAATTTCAATATCCTGCTTGATTCATTACAGAGAAATGAATTAAAAAAAAAAATTAATAAGATCTTTTTGTTTGAAAGGCTTATTTGGAAGCCAAAATTTTTGGGCAGAATTAAGAATTTTCTTTCAAATACTTAGTGACTATTGTACTCTACTTACAATTCTACAGCTTTCGTAAACGCATAATTTTTTCTGAATCCAGATTTGGATAACCTTCAATCTCAAATATGTATATGTTCCGAGAGTAAAATAAAAAGGTAATCAAATATTATCTTAAGGAATACAATTGATGAGCTTTTAAATTGTGAGATCTGTCAGTTTTGTTGCGCCAAAATAAAAATGATACATAAATTATAATATATAAACATACAGGCTACCAAAAACAAGTTTTGATGAGGTCTCGAAAATATTAAGGTCGCAAGTGAATTAAAGCGTCAAGATATTCAGTGACATAAACCTTATAACAAATATAATAAGTTTCTAAAAGCAGTATGGATTTCGTGTTAAAAGCACAAGAAGAGTTTTAGTAAATTTGAATGAATCTTTTCTGTTTTTCTTTTCCGTGTAGCAAAAACGCGTAAAATATATGTAAGTGTTTACAATTTAATAATTTTCTTCGATTTTTCGTTTAGCGCACAATATGAAAGTAATGCATAAATTTTGATTAGAAAATATTATATAATATAATTTTAAATATTATGTGCCTATGTCTTTAAAGTTCAATTAAGATAATTAAATAATAAATCAAATATTAAAATTTAAAAAAAAAAAAACAAAAAATGAGAAAATTTAAAATTATCAACTGCTATGGCATATGCATTTCATACGATATCGTATTTGATGTAATTTTAATGTAGAAAAATTTATTTAATTAAATTATCTTATTTAATTATCCGATTTCCATTATTTCAAATAATAATGAAAAAAAATATATAATAATATAGAACAATGTCTACGTATTTTCTGGTCATTGATATTTAAAGTTCATTTTCATTTCCTGAATAGCCACAGAAGATCTTTTTGAATAACAATAGTAAAAACATTATAGATTCACTTGGAAAAACAAGAAAAAGACAAAAAAACAAACGCATTTTTTACTTAATTAACTGTAACATATCATGAAAAATAAAATAAATTTTATATATTATTATAATGTAAAAGTAAAAAAAAAAAATATTAAGCTGCAATATAATTTAAGGTTATAATTGAATTGTACATTTAAAATGTATGCAATTTCATTTAAAAAAGCGGAGTAATAAATTGTCATTTAATTTTTTAAAATTTCATTAAAATTGTATACGAAAAATGGAAATAAAATTTAAAATTTATTTTGTAGTTTCTTTAATTTTACAAATTTCATTAAAATGGGCTATACAATA